TTTCTGGGCTGCCATCTCTTTTCTCTGGGCCGCCAGTTCTTTTTTTCATTTAGCTTCTTTGATTTTTTTTTCTACTTCTTCATTTACTTCTTTTAACTTCTGCAAACTTTTATCATTGATAAGAAGTTGTGCAAATGAAAGTGTCTTTCTTTTTTTAGAAACGAGACCAGACTCAGAAAAATTTAAAGTTTTAATTTGCGGGGCTTGAGGAAAGCTATAATTGAGAACTGAATGCAAGAACTTGTCCTGAGGTACTTGTAGTTTTCTAATTCTTCTTGGGTAGCTGTTAACTGAATTTTTAGTAATTCAACTTTATTATTAAGCATTTTATTTTCTGACATTGACTGGTCAAAATTTATAAGGGTGTAATGTGAATGATTAGGTTGGATAGTCATTGGCGAAAGTAATATAGTCAGTTGTGAAGATTGACTAGATGAAGGCACTACGTTTGTTACTAATGAAGGATCAAAACAATTTGATAAGGGTTGGCTAGATTAAGACACTATGTCAAATCATTCTGTTACTAATAAAAGATTCAAGCGATCTGGGTTAATAGACTTAGGATTAAATGACAATATACCTGTAGTTTTAAAAGAATTACAAATAGCTGATAGAGTATAGATCTCAATAAAGGCTAGGCCAAGAATTTTTGCAAAAGTATACTTTGTTACTACTTTTTTAGTAGTATTATGATACTTATCACTTTGTTTACCAAATTACTTTTTTAATTTTGCAAAAGGAATTTCAGATATCTGCAAGATATGTATCATGTGAGGTGGAAGCGCGAAAAGAAAGATTCTGTTTTGATAACAAAAATCAACACACGAATAGCTAACATGACTTTTATAGCCATAAAGCATGAGTAGTACAGGTCACATTGGGAGAATCGAGTTAATAAAATAGGTAAGATACATTTGAAAAAGGTCTTCATGCATTTAACTAGTTTCTGTAAAACCCATTACTGCTCCAGGAGGTGCGCCTTGTAATAAACTAAAAATTACACAAATATCTTTATAGATAATTAGAGGTGGAATATATGAACCAGTGGCTGAGATTGTAGAAGCAACTGAGATGTGTTCATGAGAATTTCTATGAGCAACCTTATGAACCTGATGTGAGCCTTTTTTTTGCAAGAACTTTGTCTAACTTAGGTATAAGGATGAACCTAGTTTTATCCATATTCCAAATTTGCATTGCT